TTGTGTTTGATAATTAATTTATCAATACTAAACTAAAAATACGTTTAATAATTACTAGTGCCTTTTATATGGGTTTATCATCTACAAAATTTAAAACTTATATTGATTATTTGTGTGGTTTATGATTAAAGTCGTATTGTATAGCTTTAGCCTCAAAGTACACTACTGGCTATTAAAACTGCTACACCAGTAAGAAATGAAGATAATAAAATGATATTTAGTGGACAAATATAGTATACAAGAAACAGCAAGTAATTAAATTTTAAAGAAATTTTGGTGCATAGAGCTTAAAAACAACCACCTCTGGCAGTAATAGCAGCCCTTATACAACTGAGAATTGAATCAAACAGAGATAGGATGGTATGTACAGGTACAGATGCTCATGTAGCTTCAATACGATTCCACATATCATCAACCGTAGTGACTGGCGTATGGTGACAAGACAGTCGCTCGGCAATCATGAACCACATGTTTTCTATTGGCGAGAGATCTGGTAAACATGCAGGTCAGGGCAACAGCCGAGCGTTTTCCGTATCAAGGAAGATCCGCACAATACCGGCAACATGCGGTCGTGCATTATCCTTCTAAAACGCAGGGCTCGAATAAAGGATTGAGCCACGGGTCACAACTCACTAGAAATGTAACGTGCACTATTAAAAGTGCTATCAATGCGAGCATCGGTTGACCGAGAGGTGTATCCAACAGCACCCCATACCATCACGTCAGGGGATGGGCCAGTATGACGATGGCAAAAGCACACTGACAATGTGCGTTCACCCCGATGCCGCCAAACACGAATGCGACCATCTTGATGTTGTGAACAGAACCTGGATTCACATAAAAAAATGACGTCTCGCTATTCGTGCGCCCAGGTTCGTCATTGCTGAAATTATTGAAGACGCTCCTGTCTGTGATGCAGTGTCAAAGGTAGCCGCAGCCATGCTCTTTGAGCTGGGGGTCCCTGCTGCTGCAAACGTTGACGAACAGTTCGTGCAGGCATTTATTGTCTTGCAAATGATGCCAATTCTTGGCTCAGGGCTTGTGCCGTGACTACATGATCCATTAAGGCCATGCGGGTAACATGCCTGTCTTCTCAACTACTAATGATAGGGGGACGTTGAGATCCAGCATGGCGTTTCGTATTACCGTCCTGAACCCATCGATTTCATATTCTGCTAACAATCATTGGATTTCGACCGACGCGAGCAGCAATACTGTAAAAAGATAAACATCAATCCCAGTGCGCTACAATTCAATCTTTATCAAAGTCAGAAACGTGCTGGTGCCTTTCTGCTTCTTTCACGAGGCATCACAGCAACTTTTCACCAGGCAACAATGTTCAAATTCAATTTGTATATAAGAAACTGGCTGAACATTCCTCATTTAAACACATTGTAGGTGTCACTACCGACGCCTGCCTTGTCTGAATGCGCTGAAAAGTTAATCATTTACATATCCCAGCACCTTCTTCCTGTCATTTAAATTTCACGTCTGTAACCTGTCGCCTTCTTGGTGTAGCAATATGCTGGGTTCTTTAGTGACAGCTTTCAACGGTTAAGAAATGCAGCAGAAATGCATAACTATGGATGGCGATTATGCAGAGAAGTCCTAAAAGTGATAGATAAAAATTAAATTTCTATCTCAGTTTAATGATAACTAAAACTTTACGATATTCTCACGCACAAATGCCCTATATTTGAAAAAAACATGCTTAATTACTATCAAGAATTTAATCACTGTCTAAACAAGACTTCTCGTGAAAGTAATCTGAAATTAATTCTTCGTTTCTGTTTAATTTAAAATACTTTTGAGAACATCAGTATTGTTAACGATGTGAAAGGCATATGTTCATTTTATGCATATTTTCCTTTTATTTTATATTTGGAAATTACAAATTTTTCTCCAATGACCGTTGCATAATTGTTATAAATCATTAGTATACGTAGTATGATCCAAAGGTTCAGGGACAAGGTTTAGAAAACCTTACCCTGGATAGTTCACCGCACCGAAGCACATCCACCTTCTAAGTAGTCCCCTTGGGCAACCATACACTTCTGCCAGCGTTCGTATAACTTCTGGAAACACAGCTGGAAGCCGTTTTTCGCAACCTCTTGTAAGACCTCCTACAAAGTTACTTTCTCTTCATCTGATGACACAAAACGAAGTCGCTGTAAATGCTTTTTCTTTAATGGGAAACAGGCAAATGTCCCACGGGACTTTGTATGGTGAATAGGAGTATGTGGAAGCACGGTAGTGCTAGCTTTGGAAAGGAAATTTTTTACTAATTGGGATCGATGTGCTGCTGCGTTGTCATGCAGAAGATATCAGTCGTCACTCTGCCAGAACTGAGGCCGTTTAGGACCAATAGATTCCTTCAAACGACGTCTTCAAGAAGTGTGTAACCTCAGAGATTTGTGCAAGTGTTTGGTGACGATCTTTTCGAACACGTTCAGAAACGAACGCAACATTCCCCCCGTTTTGTGAAGTCGAAGATCGTCCAATGCGTTCATTGTATTCGATGGATTCTCGGCCCTCTTAAAGAAGCCGATTTCATTCGTAAACCTTGGATCTCGCCATGGTAGATTCAAATTCAAAATACACCTTACTTAGCATTTTCAAAGTCTCCATTGGTGTTTTATCTAAACCTTGACAGAATTTAATGTTCAACGCTGTTCAAGAAAAGCCATCTTTCTTAGATCGCGGAACAAAGCTAACTTCGGAAGATAATAGCTGCGCGTGCGGTTCCATCACATGACATGGACTAAGCAAACCTGGCCAGTTAGATAAGGGTAGGGAGAATCCAATTCAAGTGGTTTAACTTTATATACTTGCTTTTGCTGTCATCAATGGACACAGTCCCCTAATTTTTAGATCGTACTACATATTTATTTACGCATAAATGTTTAAAAAGAATTCATTTTCTGAGTAATCAATAAATAATCAGTCTGAAAAATACTCTTGTTGCAGATTCTAGTTCTCTCAGTGCTATGGGGAATGTACCAGCTCCTTTCACTGCAAATGCAGCATCTATCACCTCATCTGTTAAGAATGTGAGAGACTATTTTCCAGAGACATGGTTATTCCAAATGGAAATGACTGGGTAAGTAATCTATGTTTGCAAGACACGACGATTTTATTGCCAAATAACTTATCTTAAACGAAAAATATTACTATCGCGAAATGAGTTAGAAGCAAACAGAACATACAGAATTTTTTTTCTTATATCTGTTAACATTTACTTTTCATTTCCCCTTAAATTTCCTTAACCATCGATTTTCCTTAACATTTCTTTCTTTTTTTTTTCTTGGAATATTTTCCTAAATTATTTTTAAATTTTAAATAATCAGTTGCTATTGTTTATTATTCTCTTTGAAAAGCTTTCCGTGAATAAGTATATAAGATAATGAATATTTAAAATTAAACATGAATACAAGCTACAAACAAGATTAAATTCTATTTTTTTAAAAGTCGAGCATCGTACTTTTCCATTTTGAAGTTTTTTCTTTCTTTTTTTATAGACCCAATGGAGTATTCGAGTCACAAGAAACTCTTCCAGATACAATAACCGAATGGGAAGGCAGTGCTGTTTGTATTAATTCAAAGGATGGTCTTGGCTTGTCGGATACAGCCTCCATCAAAGGCTTCCAGGCGTTCTTCATATCTTACAATCTTCCTATCAGTGTTATCAGAGGCGAGGAATTTGTTGTGACTGCGACAATTTTTAGTTATGTGGATGCCGCGCTTCCTGTAATCAGTAATTTTTTTAACTTTTTTTTGTAAGGATAGTTAATTTATAACCTAAAAATATTATATTTCCCATTTAATGTTTACTTTCCCACCGTACATATTCACGCATAACTTTAAACAGTTAATACTCTCTCAGAAAAGATAATTCAGCCGTCAGATTCCAATCCCATTTCATTTTCTTTCATGGTCATAGGCCGTACTTTTCCACGCTGTTTCCTACACTCCTCACTTAACTGTAACTGAGCGCGTAACCGCCTTCCTACCCCAACTGAAACTTTTGAACCCCATACCGGGACATTCTGTAAACAGAAAGCGCAACGGGGACAGACGCAAGGTCTTGTCTGCATCAATCCGCAGCACCTTTAAAGGTGTAATTTTCATTTAACCGTATTACTACTTTTAAGTGTAAACTTTAACTGTAAATATTTATTTTCTTGTAATATAAACATATGTACTATCTCCATTTCTGGCTGTCATTTGAACTCAACCAGTGGCATCAATTGGAGGCACCGACGAGATCGTCAACGGTTCAGAGAAACAAGAGATAAGTGCTATTTTATATTTTCATTCAACGTTTGGTTTTGGTTTCTCTTACTGATTCATTCCCTCCATATTTCGTTTTATCAACTATAATGGACGCCGAAATGGCTACAGTGCTTCGCGGCAGAGCGAAGGCTGCACTTACAAGAATTAAAAATTTCATTGATAAAGATGATCAAACTTTGACAAAAATGATATACGCAACAAGTTAGAGAAACTTGAATTAACTTATACGGAATTTGATAAAGCGAATTGATGCAGACAAGACCTTGCGTCTGTCCATTGCACTTTCTGTTTACAGAATGTCCCGATAAGGGGTTCAAAAGTTTTAGTTGGGGTAGGAAAGCGGGAAAGTATCGCGCGCTCAGTTACAGTTAAGTGAGGAGTGTAGGAAACACACGCTTTGCTCTCCAATTTTGAAATCTGAACTATAAACAGTAACATAAACAAAAAATTAATTCAATTCCTACTTAGGTCAACAAAGAATCATTTTATTTTAGCTACTTTTTATTTAATAGTTACAACTGATATAAATATGCATACTCATATGACAGAATCACAATATTAAGTGACAAAATAGAAAGGGATTTTAATTTTTATATATGATGCTGGACTATTATTTTTTTGTGTGTTATTATTTATTCATTAATTGAATTTACTCATTCTTATAAAATAGTAAAGTAAAAAAGAAATCACGTTCTCAAAACTTAGGCCATCCCAGTAGGGATTCGAACCCATGACCTTTGGATTAGAAGTCCAACGCGCTATCCATTGCGCTACAGGGACACACTGAATGACTTTCCTTTCTATATAGTGTTGAACTATTATTTTTGTTACTATTCATTTTTTAATTTAATTAATGAATTAATATTTGAAAAAAATTGTATTAACATCAAGTGCCATCCACTATAAGTTTTAAAAAAAGGGATTTGAACTTGAATGGATGAATAGAAAATATTTTATTAACGATTGAAAATTTGAACAAGATATGTATATATACAGGAGAGAGTGAACTAATAGTGGGAATCGAAAGAAGAGTACCCAGAAGTAAAATTAAATTGATCCAAAATATCTACATTTATTTTCAAAACAAATAGCTGGAGAATAAAATTATAATCTTAAATACTGTAAATTAACTGTAATCTTAATCGAAAGACGTAAAATTTACCACCAAATTTGTTCCTTGTTTTATTTCTTTTAATGGGCCTTTTTGTGGCAAAAAGATGATTTGACGTACAAAAGCGTTCTTGTAAGTAATAACTTTTTCAGCTCAATACGTTATGTATTGTATCAGGAGCTCTGTCTATTTTTTAAATTAAATTTATATTACACATATTGTGTTTTACAAGGTTTTTCCAAAAATAATTACCACATTATTTCAAAACAGTAAACTAGATTTACGTCATTTGTATGTATTTTTAGCCACAGACAATTTTTAACGAATTATCCTTATGAATTTCATTCTAGGTGACGGTATCTCTGGATAAACCACAGGGATTTGTAGTTGCTAATGATTCAACCAGTGGTGACCTGTGCGTCCAGCCAAATACCAGCAGTGGTATTGAACTTAAACTGAAAGCAACGAAAGTTGGTAAAGTTAATATAACAGTAAGAGCAGAAACGATATCATCGAGTAAAATTTGCGGCAATTCTTCAATATATGATGCCCCTGCTAGAGATGCTATTACTCAATCTTTCGAAGTTGAGGTATAAATCATTTTGAAATAGAAAGCATGAATATATGTATTAATTTAGCTCTTAAGAACAATGAAGGGAATGGGGGGTCAATAAATTCTTCATTTCTGTTGAAAAAGCAGAAATATAAATAGTAATGTAATTTAATAATCATTAGAGATGGAATAAAGTATTAGCTCTAGATGTGAGAAGACTGAAAAGAATTCGTTCTAGTTTATGTTCTACATTGTTTAACAGGATTTCATACTCAAAATCTTACTAATTGAGAGACATGCTGGAGGTGTTTCTGGCGATATATTAAATTATCTTAAGAAATGTATTCAGTATATGTTATATATTTAAATATAATACTTGTATATTTTTAGATAGATCCCAGATAGTTATTTACAAACATGTTGATGAGAACGAGTCTCCTAGTTTTCTTATATAACGAATTCATTTTCTCTGCATTTTATATAAATTGTCTTTTTTTAGGGTTATTGATTAGATAATAGTAGAATAAAAAAACATATATTTCTTCCTAAAAATGTAGATGTATTTAGAAATATTTTAATGTGGGATTTTTTTCTTATTATTTGTGGCATTAGTTTGTTATAAATAGCTGTTACATAATGACACAATATAAACGGCAAATAAGTATGTTTAAACTCTTTCATTCCATCTGAAATATTTTTACGATATATGTTATTGCATAAGGCCATTTAGCAAAAAGAAAGAAATTCCATGGTCTTAAAAAATAAAAATTTCGAGCTTTCGTTCACAAAATCAATAGTAAATACACCATTCTTCTTTTTTAAAAAAAAAATCATGGGCAGTTTATAGTTCATAGAGTGAATTGTCTGAAAGTTTTTCATAAGTACCACTTCAAACACAGAACTTAAATTTAAAGGAATAGTTCAACGTGACGTCATAGTCGCATAACTGTAATCACTTGTTTTCAACCAATCATTTCATAAATTCATATGACGTCATTAATCACACGATAAATGCAACCATGTGTTTACAGCCAATTAGTTGCTAATTTTTGCTTTTTGTAGAAATTATCTTTTATAAAGTACATATTTGTCAACAATAATAACATGCAGAAAGGAAACAAAATACTCTTGATTTAAAAATAAACAGAAGTAAGTATAAGTAAACAGAAAGGTAATATTTTGTTTTAATTTTAAAGGGACACAGTATGATTCAATAGACAAAAATCGGTCAAAAAATAGCTTTTAGCTTAAATTATTCTTCGTATACAATTCTATAGCCTCACAAAATTTGAAAGCTCTAAGCAAAAGACTTAGAATTATGATAGATTTTATATTCATTTTTATTCATATCCCTATGCAAATCAAAACTTTAAACGTACTTATCTCAGAAAGATAAAATAACTAGTTTGTCTTCCTTTAAAATGCTACGGCCTTTTTTCTATTGTGCTTAATGCTTTGAATTTTTTTAACTATTGCTAATAGTACATGCAACAAAAGTTGGTATGCATTTTTGAATCAAAGGAATACTTATTTTTTAAAAATAATTGAACTCCGAATTTATACATTTTTTAAGGAATTTTCAATAATCATTCATAAAAAGAATTGCACGAATACTAACCATGTTATCGCAAAACCCATACCAATTTTTGTTATACATAGTTTGATGTACTTGCAAATCAAATTTTATGTGGGTACGTAAAATTTTGTAGGAGGAGAAGCATTTTAAAATCACTTCACAAATTTTAAGTTTTTTCCTTAAAAAAAATTAAATGTCTATCTTTTTATGAAATTTTGAGCACAAAATCTGTTTTACATAGTATACACACATAGGAGGTGCGCAACCAAAAACATTTTTAAACTCCTTAAATTAAAAAAAAAAATCCACAAATCGTTCCATGTACCCTCAAAAACCTTTTTTGAAGAATCTTAATATTTGAGCATCTTTAATTAACAATCAAATTTGAAGTTTTTTGTTAATTTTACAAGTAGAACAAAGGTGAGAAATTTAGCGTTATTTATTAATTAATTGTAGAATATGTGATTGAATTTATCATGTGACTATCAGAAATTAAGCTCATTGAATGCATTTGGAGAGAGGTAGAGGTTAAAGTAAGACAACAAGGCATTAAAACAAAAGCGAACTAATAACAGTAGTCGGTAAAAATTAGAGAAATATCGATTCATGCATTTTTATTCAGACATTTAAAAGCTGTTGTGGATGCTCCAAGATTTTTTATTAAGTACTAAATTATCAAAATATTAGAATATGTCGCTCTTACAGCCGTTTTTAGATGTTTTTTGCTAAGTAACTTTTTGGTTATTTTATTTATCAAAATCATTTTAATTTCGTGTTCAAAATTCTTTTTTCATTTTTGTTAAGAACAGAATTATATATTATTAAAATTCCTTACATTGCATATTATAATTTTTTTTTGTAGGTATAGCATTATTTCATTACAATTTGAAAATTTCTGATCATCTTAGGAAGCCGCCGTATATATAAATTTTGTGGATATACATTTAAGAGAAAATATTCTTTTAAGAAATTTTGCATAATATATCAAAAATTAAAATTTTATCAGAATTCATTAGATTTAAATTCAAAAAACTGTATTAAACTGGATTCATTGTTCTCTTACAAAAATATTTTATTTCATTAGGTATATAAAATAATAATTAACTTTTGTGATATTATAATTCTTATCCATCATAGGCTGAAGGATTTCCCAATGAAAAAGTTCACAGTATTCTTGTTTGTCCAACAGGTATTAATTTTAAATCTTTTTCAACATTTCTGTGTTTCTTATTTTAAAGTTTCTTTTAAGGTATGTGTAACCATACCTCAAAATCCTCACTTTAATGAAAATTTTGGAATTTTTTTATATGATTTTATTTAACAGCCTATATGTTTAATATTTTAAAAATAGTTTTTATTTTTGTTTCCATGATATTTAGAAGTAATGTTATAGCGTAACTAGCAAACCAGAAATGGTGTTTACAAAGCCTTAAGAAGCATAAAAATGTAATTAACTAGTTTGAACATCTGTTTCGTGACTTTTAGACAATGTAAATATCTTTATCTTATTTTAAATATAGATCAACGTATATTTTATTTATTTATTAATACTTTATTTGTATTTGTCTGCATCTTAGACATTCTCAATGACATGAAAAAGTTTTAGAGTTAGAGTTAGAGAGAAGTTTTTGTGAGACCATTAGTTATAGGACAACTGGAAATACAGTGAATAAAATGGTGATGATTATTCAAAGGCCTTCTTGTAAGTGAAAGATATATATGGAGAGAAAAATATAGTCACAAGAAGTTTGAACGTATAGGCCATGTAAAATAAAGGATAGGTTCATGTGTCTAAGGAAATTAAAATAAAATACAAGAAGACTTAGAAGAAAGGGGAAATTAACCTATATATTTATTAATAAACTGCAGAACCATTATCAGGACCAATCCTAGAGTGTCGGCCGCCCGCATGGAAACACCTAATGTGCTACCCCTTTAGAGGATTTTTCAGATTTTGACTAATACTAAACATTGACGTTATAAACTCATCTATCTGTATAAGAGTAAAAAGTAAAACATTAATAAAAATGCAAAGAAGCAGAAATCACTTCTTTCCTCTACTTTGTTTTTCTAATTTATAGGGCTATTATTGAATTGAAAACATTTAATTACCTCAAATGCATAGGGAATGTAAACACTCCTATGTCTTAAGTAATATTAACCTTATTGAAAATTTTCGTAAAGTAACTTTTACAAAATTCTTTTTTGAGACGCCTTTGTTAAGCATCGATCCACAGTGCACTGTCAGTGCCACTGATCAGAAAGAAAACCTTTTCTGTTGTAGTATTGCCGCCTTTTTTGCTATCAAATAAAGGATATGAGTAAAGAGCAGATATTGAAGGACAGTGGACCAACACACTTTGCATTAACATTCTATTTTTCTTAAATTATGGTTTACTTTCGAGAAATCAGGACTTATTTTGATCTTTCAATAACGATTTAAAACTCAATGTATTTATTCGACTTATTGTAAGTTTTTATTATGAGAAATTCGTAAAATTTTTTGCTTGATTGTGTAGCGGTATCTGTATAAGACAGTA